TATATTTTTTAATATTATTATATATTATATTATACGATATAATTACGTTACAATATATTATATATTATTATGGAATATTAAATAAATATATTATAATTTATAACTATATTATAAATTAATCATTATATTCTTATAACTATATTATATTATAATATTTTTATTATATATTATATTATATTATATTTCAAGATATAATTACTATATAATATGTTTTAATTATATTATAATATTGAAGGGTAATTATGGAAAAAAAATAAAAAAAAAGAACTTAGAATGGCTATTCTTCCCATATGAGGAAGGAATGATGATTCACCCAAAATGGGTGAATGACCATTCCTTTTGAATGATGATTCACCCAAAATGGGTGAATAACCATACCTTTTGAATGATCATTCCTTTCTTATAAATCCAACCAAACATCAAACTAGAATTTCATTCAATTATATTTTATTCCTTTCCATCCAACCAAACACACCCTAAATTCTTGTGTGCCTTATTTTTTTTATTTTGTTTTTAGCTCTAACTTTAGTTGTGTACTATTGCTTCTAGATAACGCAATTTTTTAACATATACTAATCCAATAGTCCTCAAAGATATACTTTTATCTCATTTTAACTCTCAATATTCAATTTAAGAGGTCTAGCTATTCTAAAATTTTTAAAATATACAATTTTATCCCCTCTGTAAATAAATTTTCTACTTTTAGACGGAGTGTAGTGAGACCATTATGGGTAGTGTTGACGGTGAAACTTCGTCAACAGAAATACACTGGATCACCCTTTGGTATCCCGTGGGGTTATCGGCTAGAAATTAGCTGGATATTTGAAATTATGCTAGGAAGTGTTTGTTATGTTTTGTGAGCATGAAAAACAACATTTGAATAAGAGGACACGCGAGGTTTATAGTGGTTCACTCTGTTAATCAAGAGCTACATCCACTTGTGTATGGTTTATTTATTTTGGACTCTTTACAAATTACATGCACGTATGCTCTTTCTTCTCATGCCTTTTCTCAGAGAACTCTCCCCTTGGCGTATGGGGCTTTGCCCCTTTTTATAGCCCAAGCTTCCTTCGTGAGAGGTTTTCCTTCGTAAGTGGAAGTACTCGAGTGGCCTACTTTCTAGGCTAAGACCGTAGCCCACTAATCACTTTTGGACTGTTCACTCAGCCATTAGGTCTTCCATTACGACTCTGCGAATTCCTGTAATATCTTGCTACCCACTGTAAGGCGGTTTAAAGGTTTGTAATTAATGCCCGTATCGCAGACGTGTCCCACTTCTAGACACACCTTTATGGTGTCAGGCATCTTCCTCTCGGCGTCTGTACCGTGCGGATCTTATGCCCTTCCTAATCTTTCTGAAGGCATATGTTCGACGTCACAACGGGTCGACGCCCTAAATTGGGCCTCTCTGCTGCGTCGATGGTAGTCGAACTCTTGGCGTCGAGGATGATCGATGTCTTGGCGTCGAGGGTGGCCACCTTTGGAGGGGAGGTAAGGCCACGTGTCATGCTATCGACGCTCCACCTGTCACCCACATTTTCCCACACAACAGGTAGCATTTTGAGTCATGGTACAACAACACAGCTCAAAACATGTACGTTATTAGTGGGTTTGGGTTACTATAAATGGGTTAAGATCATAATCAAGTTGATACGGTTAAATTGACTGGATTCAAAATGAAGTCCTTTACAATCTTGTTTGTGAACGTGGTTTAAATTGGGTGAACCATGTTCAATTCTTGTGTACCTTATTTCGTTTTACCCTATTTTTAACTCTTAACTTTAATTGTGTATTGTCGCTTCCGTATAAACTAATTTCCTAACATACACGAACTTAATAGTCCTTAAAGATATACAGTTATCTCATTTTGACTCCTGATATTCAATTTTAGAGATGTAGCTACCTGTTTTAAATAATTCATTTTTGAAACATTAATCTATTTGTTAATCTTTAGTGGTGAATTTAATAAGGTCTCTTTGCGTTAGTTTAGATCGTCAATCAAAAGGGCATACAGAATATGAAAAAGGGAGGACGAGTATTGGCGTGTCTTGGTAGGAAATTTGACACAACATTTAGGAAGTATTGATTTAATATGCTTTGCCTGAAAAAGAAACTAAAGTGAATATACAAATTCAGTCTAGAGGACAATGATCTTATGATCTTCAGTTAGGAGATAGCTACAGCACTGTAGAACCAGCTAACTAGCCACACGCACTTGGAAAGCAGCCTCCTGCAGCCAAAAACAAAAACAAACAAAAATGATATAATATCATAACACAATAAAAAGGCCATAAGAAAAGGAAAAGGAATTGCATGTAATCTCACAAACGTTTTGAGAAAAATCTGAATTGTCAAAAAAAAAAAAAAAACAAAAACAAAAACAAAAGAAAAGAAAAAAAAAAGAACAGCTTATATTTTCGCTTGTTCTGACAGTAAATGGAGCTAGTTTGGAGGAGTGCTGCATTTAAGGGTGGAGAGCAATTTAAGGGTCATGCTGCTGGGCGAAGTGGTTGAGTACTGCATCCTAGATAGTGAGAGTCCAGTAGCGGAAAGTATCACTAGCTTACCCTCTAACCCGATTAGCATGGGACACATATAATTCTGCGTGAATCAGCAAGGACCGCCTTAAGTACTCCTGGGATACCGATAGTGAAGTACTGTGAGGAAAAGAAAGAAGAGGAAAAATGAGTTGGAGATGGGGGTTGTGGATGCAGTGGAATCATGTTCTCACTAATGCTATTTTTAATTGAGATTGTAGAAGAGATGGCGGAGAATTGGAGCAGGACAATTATGAGGATGAGCAATTAAGGAGACACAATGAAGGGGATTAAGTATTAAAAACAAGTTCTCAGATTCTCTTAATGGCTTTAATAGAATTTCTCCGAGTTTGAGGCTGAAGCTTGGCTCAAAGGTTCAGATTGGAGGAGAAAGGTTTGAACATTTATCTAAAAAAAATGTTGAAACAAGCAAAAGCCAAACCCGCTAGTGAACATTTTCTAGACAGAAATGCTACAGAAATCCATCACCAATTAGGAAATTAACAAACTACAGAATCCTTAAAATACCATCTATATTGGAATGCCTCTGCTGCTGTCTTCCCCCAAGAAAACATCGGTCAGAACAGTTTTGGACTCCAACGACGCCTTCAAAAATTTTAAGGCCTACACGATAGAAACACATTGTTCTATGTCAGAAAACATATTCCAAAGCAATGAAATGAAGGGAGCAAATAAATTATTGTCGTTCGAGATAGGAGAACAAGGAGTTATTAGTGAATTTTATCAATTCATATAATGTCAAAACATTTGTGAACCTTTTTTTTTCTTGCATTTTAAGCTAATGCCAAACAATAAGTAGTAAACTAAATAAAGTATAAATAAGAAAAAAAAAACTTTAAAAGAGAGAAAAAAACAAAATAATTGGCACACCTCATCCATTCCAAAGGAAACCATCACCTCCGCAAGATCACAAATGTCCTTAACCTTGTACTTATTAAGCAAAGCAATGCTTGATATGGTGGACATAGGTTTCACTTCCAAATCATCCATGATCATGTAAGTAACCACGTCCTTCACATAGCCTTTCACAATGGACGAAGAGGCCTGCGCAGCCTGATTCGCAAAGGACGCCAAGGTGGACATCGTCCAGCCGCAATTGGGACACTTGTCCTTCGGATTGTAGGTCACATAGCGCTTGCAATTCCCACATGTGAACACATTCCGAGTCTGATCAGCATTGTCGGGCAATGCCAGCAGCGTTGCCGCGCCCTCAAAAACAAGCAAGTTGGGCTTAAGCAGGGTGTCCTTTTTAGCCTCTGGTTGTATGTAAGTCTCGCTAAGGTTTTCAAAGCTTTGATAGAGATTTCCGAGACTGCCCAACATGCCATCAGTGGAGAGAATCCTGATGACAGTGCCAATCGGCAGAGACAAGAGCGAGAGTAGGAAGTCAACAAAGTCTTTCCCGGCTTCGGACAAGAGGACCCTTTTCGCTTTTTTGTCGACTAAAAGCTTCAGACTTATGCTGGGCTTAGTGGTTGACATGTCGAAATTTGTTTCTTCTTCTGATCTTTGGAACTTTTGAGTTATTGTTCAAGCAAGAAAAGATGACCCAAGAAGTTGAAAATGAATGATGAAATGAAGGTAAAGCATTTCTTCTTGTTATTTTAGCTAATTGTAAAGTTGGGTTTTCTCATTTTGCTTTGTTTTCGAAAGTTTTCACGAGTGTAGAAAGGGATTGATTCTAGGAAGAAAATGGGCAATTCATTCCTTCAGACTATTAGACGTAGAGCTATAAGTTTTGGAAAGTTCATTATGTTAAGAAATGGTTACCGTGTGCAGAATGAGATTACCTCTCAAATGCGCTACTGCTTTCCCAGAAATTTTCCTTCCTCTTCCGAGGTGAGCAGTTAGAGGTGATTACTTTATTCTCGGGGTTGGGATATGCCTAATTGTCTTCGTTCAGACATGTTCAAAATTCATACTATAGTTTTCTTTTTAAGAAATTGCATCTAGGCCCTCCGATGATGAAAGATGAAAAATATAATTAGAATTTATAAAAATAATCCCTGAAGGTATGCACTTGTTTCATTTGGGCCCCTTCTCAAGTTGTCATTCACTTTTGGAGGTCCCTGATATTTCTAAAATATACAATTTTAACCCTTTCATTCACTAGAAACTGACCATTTGAAGATCTGATGGGAAATTACTATTTCCCAAATCACCACCAAGATTAACAAAGATATTAATGTTTCAGGAATGAATTATTAATAAGGCCTCTTTGCTTTAGTTTAGATCATCAATCAAACGGGCATATAGAATATGATAAAGAGAAGAAAGAGTATCGCGTGTGTTGATGAGAAAGTTGAGACTAACATTTAGTAAGTATCCAATTAATCTGTGCTTTGCCGGAAAAAGAAACTAAAGATTTAATTCTAGTATCAGTGAATATACAAATTCAGTCTAGAGGACAACGACGTCAGTTAGAGTTTTACAGCACTGTACAACCAGTTGACTAGCCACAACGCACTTGGAAAGCAGCCTCCTGCAGCCAACATGTCCCCCCCCCCCCCAAAAAAAAAAAAAAAAAAAAAAAAAAAAAAAAAAAATCAGAACACAATAAAGGGCCACAAGGAAAGGAAAACGAATTGCATCTAAATCTTGCAAAGCTTTTGAGAAAAATCTGAACTGTAAAGTTTTTTTTTTATAAAAAAAGGCGTATAATTTCATACTTGTTAGCAGGCAATTCATAGTAACACTAGAAAGAGAGAACACTAGTATGTTATTGTCCAGTAAAAATTAGCATGAAGTTAATTACCTTACTGGTTCTAACTATGAAAGTTAATATTGATGCCTGAAACAAATCACAGGTCAAAATTAAGCCAGTTGAAGAAGAAAAATTGGTCTAAGCTCCTGGGTCACAGAATGTCTCCTCAACTACATAAGCGCTATAACAGATTCAGTAATGCAAGGAATTCTGCCGGTTCTTCATCTTCTCTGACAATCTGTTCAGCCAAAAACAGTCAATACTCAGTTAGAACACTAGAAACTCTAGGATCCAGCAATAATTAACAGGTAGGCATTGTGCACGCTTAATAGACTACGGATAAGAAAGAGGCGGAGAACGAACAAAAGCTGTATAAATAGATTGAAGATGTGAACACAAAGACAAGTTCCACACGTTTAACATTGTCATGGCATAGATAATGACATTACTTTACTATAAGAAGTACGACTGACCAACTGATTGCTGCCAAGCAGAATAACAAGTGAGGATGGGGACATGCAAACAGTAAATGCTAAATGGCAGTTTAAAAACGATAATGAGCTTATTCAAAGGAAATAAGTAAAAAGGATGAGGTGAATCATGTCAAAAAACAACAATAGTTGGTTGGTATCCCCTTCCCTTTTTTCAAAAGCAAATAGAATCACTGCATATGGGGTGGGAAAAAAAAAAGAAAAAAAAGACTTGCGCTAATAGGCCCGATGTAAGTGAGGGGAAAAAAAGGGGCATCAAAAGTCATTCCAGAATCTTTATACGCCTGGCTTATAAAAACAATTAGGCTAAGATACAGCGAAAGTAGAATCTAATAAACGATTTTGAGTATAACTATCATGATATCACAAGTTCACAATAAAATCTAAAATATGTAATGAAAAATATATATTTTTTAGTTTTTACGAGTTTCGTGTCGTGTTCGGGTTAGGCGGGTCTAACCCGAAATTGACATGTGTTTTTCATGTCAATTCAGGTCGATCCAATTCTGACCCGAACCTCTATTTTCTCAACCCTAACCCATGAAATTCGTGTCGTGTTATCGTGTCGTAACCCATATTGCCGGCCCTAATTGATTTATTGCACAAATTTATATCAATCCAATCTTAAGTTAAACATCAGGAAGAAATACTAGGATTAACAAAGGAAAACATCCAAAACAACTTTTGCATACCTTAATGGTAGTGTTTTCCGGAAGACCCAATTGGGTAAGCACATCGGAACCAACTTGATTCCAGTCAAGCTCTTCTAGAACATCTAACTCTTTGCCACTATCTAACCGAATCTGACATTTACCACGGTCAGCAGCTCTTCCTATCCAAACATACAAAATCCTCTCCTCATTTTTGCCTAAACCTGTATTTGGAGACAAAATAGCAAAAGCAGCTTTAGAATCCAGGTCATTCACCCCAACTTTTGTGACCGTTTCCAAACTGGGCCAGCGACATACTACAGGAGTAAGCGAAGGCAAGGGCAATGAATTTGACTGAGAAGTAACATCGCGTCCTGACGAACCGCTTTCCTCTAATCCATTTGGGACAGAGGATTCTTGGCCTTCTCTCCAAGCGTCACCACAATGTTTGACAAAAGCAGCTTTAGCTTGGCTTGTGTTAACACTAGTATTCCTAGCAGGAAATATCTTGCATTGTAGTGATGATTCCCTGCCCCCATTTTCAACACCATCCTTGGACTTTAAGCCATTGTCAATATTATCTGCTAAGAAGCAACTACTGTTGCTTGTGTTGGGACCTTCTCCTTGATTGACAGGAAAACTTGAAAAGACAGGGGTGATCCTCATCTTATCAGCCAACACTGGCAACTTAAGAGATTTTGACAAGCTACCTCTCCGCTCTGCAAGCGAAGGCAAGGGCTTTTTAAATGACAATGAATTTGACTGAGAAGAAAAACTGGCACAGCCTGTTTCTGGACTTTCGGGTGTTGGTTGAGATAAAGATTTCAATGAGCGCAGAGATAAATTGGAAAAACTAGATGACACTGAAGAGATAAAAGAACCTGAAGCTGCAGAAGGGGAATCACAAGAAGATTCTGAATACTTCGAACTAGTGCTTGGTTCAGAAGAGATGGAATCCGGAGAGAGGTAAGGAGGAGAAGACGAAAAGGATGATGACGCCGATGACAACGAAGATGACGATGACAAAGGCGGTGATGAATTCTTGGATAAATGCACTAACATCATAGAATCAGAGTAGACTCTGGAGAGGGATATTCGTGGCGCATAGACGAAATCCTTCATATTGCCAGAGGCAAACTTTCGCCTTAGCACACTCCAGCTGCTTTCTCTAGCAGGAAGGTGAGTTTCATGCTCATTCTCCGACGATGCAAATGGTGGTACAAAACCACCCATAATAGCTTTCTGGAAAATCTCAAAATCAACATTATAGGAATCCACTTTCCTTTCACCTGGGCAAATCTTAACTATTGATTCCCTAACCTCTTTGCCATTGCCAGACTTATCCATCAAGGGTAAAAGGTTTGAAAAAGCATCCCAAAAGCAAGCCGGTTCATCCCCTTCCTTGAACACTGTTATTGGTCCTTGCACTCTCTCATACCGAACAATCTGACAAACAGCCCCTCTTGCATCCCTTTCCATGATTGCTTCACAGCTCTTACCAATCCAAACATATATGGCTGAAGGGATATGAACGATAAATGCGCCTCTAGAATCCAGAGCAGCCGGCGAAGGATCATTCAACATTTTTGGAACAAGATGCAGCGGATCATACGGTGAGTGGGGAGCAAGCCTGTACATCCTCAACAGAGAACTCGGGCTGAGAGGGAATGCGTGGACCCTCTTTTGACACTGCAATAACTGACAAGCGAACCCCATATTCGGATCAGCTATGCCTCTGGCCGCTTTCACATACTGAAATGCATCATCAAAACTCTGCCCTTCTCTCCACATGAGATAAGCAATCACCAAAGATGTGGACCGGGACACCCCTTGGCAACAGTGAACAAAAACCCTCCCACGTTGTTCCCTAACATCTTCAAAATAGTCAAAAACATCATACAAAATGCTGGTAATATCTTCAGACGGACTATCTTGCAACCACAAAGTTCTATACACAAAATCAGCCTTGAAGTACTCGGGACATACAAAACCAACACAATTCAGTATGTGCGTGATGCCATTCTGCTTAAGTATCTCCCTATCCCTCGCTACAGCATCCCCACCAAGGTATATGTGTTCCGCGACTTTCGAGCACTCTTTGTCAAAGAAAGCAATCTTATCCCTCCTCACAAGCCCGCCATTCTTATCCGGGTGGTTCCGCTGAATCGACGATAGATCAAGCTTGAGCCTCTCCCCACATCCTCTCCCGCTCGGCGTAGGAGGCTGCGGCCACTCCCCAATATCGTCCGAACTCGCTTTGGGCCACTCGTCCAAGCTGCGGCGAGCAATCGACAGCGGCTGCAACGGCGGCAAACACGACCTGCCCTTGCAATTCTGCTGGGAGCGAGGGGTCAAAGGGGCGGGGAACCGACGGTTTTGACCATTGCCGTTCCCAATTCCGCCATTGTTCGGATCTGTGAGTTCCTTCTCATCGTTCTCCGGGTTGTGCAGAGAAGACCGCGAGGCCGACCACGACGCCGACCGCCAGAACATCTTCCGGGAGGAGGAGGAAGATTGGCAAGGAGCCCTTGAACCACCGGACGGCGCATCTTCCTTGCCCACCATGCCCACTTCCAAAATCCTCAAGAGCAAAACCAAAAGGAAAATCTTTTCTATTTTTCCTTAACTATTATCAAGCTCCGACGAAAGCAAAACATGGCGCGATTTTCGCAAATCCAAAAGGCAAAAACTCAACACTCATAACCATGCATCTCTCTTCCCCTCTCTATCCATACAATTTCAGACCAGCCATAAGCTACAAGCTTCAGAAGACAATAAGACCCCTAAAAAATTGGAAATAAACAGAAAATAACCAACGAGAAAATTAGCAGAAATCGGAATTGCTGGAGTTGGCGGAAAACCTAGCTCGGAACTTTCGACTGGAATTTCAAAAATGAGTAAACATTTTTCCTTTATCAGACGAAACTAAGAGTGTAAATTTCTAGGGTTTAGAGATTTGTGACTTACAAGTAACATATGGAGAAGCTGAAACGGACGAGAGGGAATCTGAGACGGAGAGAGAGCGGAGCAGAGAATTGTGGAAGAGCCTTATCGAGACTGTATATCTGTGTGTGTGTATGCGCTTTAGGGGGACTGAGGAAAAGAGGGAGAAAGAAAGAAGAAAAGAGGAGTCATGAGAGAGTGAGTGAGGAAGAGATAGAAAATCTCATTAGTTTATGAGTAAATTAGGAGTCATGAGCTGAGGCTGAGGCAGTCTTCGGTTTTGTTGAGGGAGGTGCACCCTCTTACACCCTAAACTACACCTTAATTTCCAAGAATTTTAGGTGGTGGACACACTAATACCTATTTCCATGGGGTGGATATTGGATTTTTTTTTTTTTTTTTAGTTTTTTTTAAAGATAATGAATTTTTGACCGTTAAATTTAAACAAAATCATATTAAATTAAAAAATATATACAATATAAATTGTTTTTTATATAAATTTAATACATAAAGAGAGAGCCTTTTTAATAATTTATTTTTTCGGTACCTACTATAAAAATCTCCTTTTTTTTAGAAAAGTAGAAAATTATAAGATTTATTTCTAGGAAGATTTTATAGGTGCCAAAAGTCTCACTTATTCAGATTATTAACTTCAATCGTAGGATTTAAATCATATGATGCTTATAAAGTGAGTGTAACCATATGACGAATGTTGTTTAAAAAATTCTCTCATAGTTTCCTTTTTAACTCATGTAGGATGTAAATTGTCTTATTTGAATCTTACAGTCACGAGTAATAGTCATCTGAGAACCTATAATGGGTGCCTCTACTGTAGAACATCTTTTTTTATTATTGAGGTTTATATTTTTAATTAAATTTATTATAAGATAGAAAAAAAGGAATTGTTGTACTAATAGAATGCAGTTCTTGACGTTAATATTTTCATCAAGCTCTGATTAAATGTGCTAACTTTTTATGTTCTCATGTGAGTCTAATGTGATCTAACATGTAAATATTATTATCTTCTCATAAAATTATTTTATATTTAGGGTCTATTTGGAGAGTATTTCCTTTTGTTTTTAGTCAGTAGAAGAAGAAAAGTAGAAGTTATGATTTTTTAGTAAGTATTTGGAATAAAAAAACTTAAAGAATAAAAACAATTTTTCTAATTTTCTATGAGCAATAAAAGTGTTAAAATGAAGCTTAGAGTGTCTTAAAAAAAACTAAGGTACAAGTTTTAAAATTTATTCAGAAATGGTTTTTTTAGAAGTCTCGTTTTGTGGTTTGACTAAAAACTCTTATGAAGTAGTGAAGCACTTTTTAACAGATCTTCTAAATATTTCTAAAAATAACTTTTAGAGCCAAAAAAATTAAAAATAAATTTTAGAAAGCTCTTTCAAACAACCCCTCAATTCTATTCTCTCCTAGACGTTGAAGCATTGCTCGTCCCTTGCATGCCAGTTCAGATTGATCCTGACATCCTATTAAAACAATACGCCTATAAAAGGTTAGATCAACTCAGCCAAAGAACTTTTTTTACCCTTTCCTCTACTCACTCTCACTTGCTTACCGTCGTCTCGCTGATTTAAGCATCAAAGTCTTTTGATTGGTACCATATGGTGCCCACTTCCGAAGCTCAACCGGGCAAAATAGTAGAATGACAATCGTATGCCTTTGCACACGGTATTAAACCGATTCCTGACATCAACAATAGATGTCTGAAAAGAGAATGTTGATAACAGATCATGCCCTTATCCAATTTAATCAAAGGAAAATTCAATGGAAGAAAAACACTTCACAAACCTATTTATGTAAGATTTTTGCTTGATTATAAGAAATGCAAGATATAATAGGGACTCTTAACCATAAAAGAGACATTTATAATTCATTATTTTTTTAGTATTTTAAATTTTAGTTTCTATATACTATATACATCAAGAAAATAAAATTATAGTTGCCATCCACAGATTTTAAAGTTTGTTGTCCAGAAGCAATGTTTAAGAAACACGTCAGGGGTTATTTTTGTATAATCACTTATGTTATAATTGTTTAAATCTATTAAAATATCCCTAATAATAAACTATAATTTTCATTACCCATTTCGTTATTTGAAAGATAAATTGTTGCATGTTTGATAAAGGTCTGACATTAATTGCCCTTGAATAAAAATAATTTATTTTTTAAACTTGTATGAGATAATAAATTAAAATTATATTTTTACAGTTTTCGATTTAAAAATTATAAAATTGACCTTAATATTAGAAATAAAATTATTTGATTAAATAAAAATAAAATGTGCCTATTTTAATCATTATACATCTGATTGTTATAAAAGAAAAATAAAAATCAGCAACCCCAGAAAAGAAAAATAAAATGTATGTCTTAACTTTTCTATTTTATTTCAAATTTTGCTTTAAGATTCCAAAACTAGAAAAGAAAAATAAAAATTAGCAACCCCGGAAATCGGTAAACTTTGACTAATAATATTGTGTTAAGTGACATGACGGATATAAATTTTTGAGGTTGTACCAAAAAATTTGTGTCTCAAAATGCAATTTTGGATATCATTTTCATCCATAATAATATAACACCTGCATGCACGTGCCAATAATACTTGTCAGAACTTATATATTAAGAGAGTTCACACCACTTTTTTTTTTCTCTTGTTGCCGGCGGCACTCTAATAGTAGTTGAGGACTGATTCTTTGTTTTTTTTTTTAATTTTTTTTTTATTTTGGTTGCTTGATTAAGAAATGTTATAAGTAAAGATAATAATTCAAATGTTTAGAGCTGAAAATTTCCAAGTATTCAGTGGAGCATAGGAATTAGCATTCTATCTGAGCCTGGCACACACACATATATAAAGGCTCAAATTCTATTATATTTTATAAGGAATGCATTCCTATATTAAAATGAGAGAATTTTGGGGACATTATTTTTATAGCTCTTTTCAACATCGTCTCTTAATGAATCGTTCGAGAAAATTGGAATGGATTATTGCAAAAATCATTGTTGCCATGACAACGGGGTCGAATTATTTCCAAGCACGAGGATAGAATTGACAGACAATTCAAACCACTTCTTTTGTTTTCACTCCCATGATAGAGAATTTTAGAAGCCAACTTTCTTCCATAGGGACAAAATAAAACTTGGAATTACTTAACCATTAAGAGTTAAAACTATTTTCATGATTTGAATAATGTGATGATAAAGACATTAAGGGATCAAAACTTTGGTGGAATATTCTGGGGTGAATGTCTTGATAAAGACACAATGCATATCGAGAAAGAGATGCTTTGTCTCCATTGAATTATTCAATAATTTATTACTAGACAAATAATTGATAAAGTTTGTTATAAATGTAAATTCAAACTTGTTGAATTATACATCAATACCATTATCATTTCTCACCCTTTATAGGCGGTAAAATATACACGTTACCAAATGAATTTCGGATGACCTTTGAGCTATATTTTAGTGAAATGTGATTTTATTCACACCCTTTTTTACTCTACACACCCCTCCTTCAAATTTAAAATTTTTTTATCACAAATAAACCCTTAAATTAATGATAAAAAAGACACTAGACTTAATTGTATAATTAAATTTTATTACAAAATGGAAATTAATAATCTTTTTTCTCTACACATATCTCACGTATTATATTCTCATATTATAAACTATTTATATTTCAAAAATCCATAGCAAAACCCTAATTTTTCACCTTTTAATGACTATTCCAAAACATTACATGGAGGTACGTTCAATTTTCTTTACTATTTATTGTATGAAGATTTTTTTTTTTTTTTTACTTTTTGTTTTTCATTTTGTGTTCATATTTGTTTGCTAATCAGCTTTTCAAACAAATCGTTTCACCTTTTTTATAATGCCAAATTACGTGGTTTTTCTCTTTTTTTTTTAATACCGATTGTGCTCTTAAGGTAGTATCTTACAGAACTTTTATTTACTATCAAGTCCGATCAATACTTTTTTTTTTGAAAGGACAAGTCCGATCAATATTCAATGAAAAAAAGCAACTCTATTTACGATTTTTATTTTTCCCCTTTACTTTTTTTATTTATTTATAGTTTTTTTCCCTATTGAACTTTAAAAAAAAATTGGCTAAAGTTTCAACAAAAAAATAAAAAAGATATAGATAAAATATAAAATTAAAGTAATAAATTAATTTATGTGGTGTGTGTAGTTAGAAGGGAGTGTGGAAAGAAAAGAGAGGGTGTAAATAAAATAATTATTAATAATTTTATGAAAATAATTAGTAATTTTAGAATAATAGGGGTGTGTAAAAAATTTAATCATTTAAAAGTTATGTGAGGTATGTAGTTAGGAGGGAGGTGTACTGTGGAGAGTAAAAAGATGAGTGTGAATAAAACCACCCTTAAGTAAATAGCCAAAATTTAAATTTGAGAAATGACAATTTATCAGTAAGATAGTAATAAATCATAACAAATTAATGATACACCAGTTTATTACTGACTGACTTGACGGTTTATCAATGAATGACTTGGTGGTATATCACTTATTGACTTAGTGCTAATTGACCAATATCAATTGATAAAATAATTTCAATAAATAAGTTATTGTTTTGTAAATAATACATCATGAGTAAATCAATATTAAGTCGGTTTATTAATGATAAATCGTGGTGCGTCAAACTCATGATTTTTCCTATAAAAAAGGCATGAATTAAAAATAAAATAAAATCTTTGCATTTATGTTGCGTGAGGTTGCCAAAATAAATCTCCATAAATTGGGAGAAAACAATACATGAAGAGCAGTGCTAAATCTTATCGCTGCATAAACTAATCCTAAGCCTAATTCACGACGCTTTTATTTTCCAACCCTTTCAGTTCCCCACTTCATACCCTGCAAAGCGGGCAAGAAAATGACTCCCACAAACCAAAAATTGAATTAAATTTCACCAATTGAATGAAGGTGGGAATTGGGATAGCTCAGAAAACGAAATTTTTGAGGAATTTCACATGCGAGGAAAATGAAACTATGTGATCAATTCAATTTCAAAGCTAGTGATTAGCAATTTCTCCCATTTTGCATCACAATTACACCCTAATAATGTCAGGAAAACGAAATTATCATGAAGTTTTTACTAAAGGGGCCCACCTCTGGAGACCATCAAATGGAGTGGTAGGACCAGTAGTTTTCTTTGCTGGGACTGAACAGAAACAGCTTTGGAAGTCTTATTCTCATCACTTTTTGACTAGCACAAGTAAGACAAACACAGCACATGGATGGAGAATAAAAGAAAGAGCCGTGTGGATCAGTTTGCACAACAGTGCATAACATTATCTGCATGATTATCATAAAATTCCCAGTTTGCTACCTCCAAGCAAAACATTGCCTAGGACTTTAAATGTTTTGATGTGGTGGGAAACCTTTGTTTGGCTATGGAGTTTGAGAAGACTCTTATAAGAAAATTGGTCATGTAAAGCACTCTACAAGTCGGTGTCAATTTTGTGGAATCCGATTAGATAGAAAGTCAAAGTTGGCATCCCTTTTTGTTCGGTATTCTTGATTGTCTAACAAGCTAAGTTAGAATGCTAGTCAAGAAAGACTCGCTACATTCATACATGACTACTAAAGACTTCTAAACTCGACTAATTGTGTTACCAGCTAATGTGACACTCTATTTTAACCACTAAACTTACAGAGTCAAGATGCTAGTTTTTGATACAGTTAAGTCGAAAAATTTTGCATTGGTTGGTAAATAAATTTCAAACTTCAGTGCCAAAGGAAAGAAAGAGAGAGCGAGTATAATACATTGACACAACAATAACAACCAGTCATAGCTCAAACAACAATGAAGAAGCAGATTCCAAGCCAACGTAACATAAAACCAACATCAATTATTAAAATACACGGGCAAGCAAGTTCATATTTATTGTGCAAGCAAATGAAACATGAGGAACAAGAAAAATTGATAAATATCCATGTACATACTGAAAGAATTATTGCTCAAAGCAGGAGCCTGGACCACTTGGAGGAGTTCGAGCATACTCGTTTGTAACAGGAGCAGCTTGAACCCCGCGTCTGTTCAACAAGCATCTGAAGTAATGCAAGCGAGGCAATGCGGTCACGTTAATGTTTCCGGAAGATATGGCCTCCCTACTGCTCCACAGCCGCTCTACAAGGAAGAAGTAAAGCAGTGAAGTTCAATATTATGCTTAACCATGCTAAGATAAAGCCAAAACAATTTCCAACCAATCTAGCATCATTTTTCAGGTTAAAAGGAACGTAACATTTTTTTTCTTTATGCATTAGTTAAAAAACAGAAAAAAATAAGTCTTGCACTATGTACATGACGTTTTGAATGTTTCAAAAGTCATGTTGTGTATTGCAAAACGATCTAAAAGATGCTTATCCAATTCATATTGCATTTAGCAGCATCTACAGTGGCTGTTGGACCAAGACACCAACTCTATCTCTCAAATTTAGGTTGCATTTAATTTTAGCACTATCTACAGTGGTTATTGGACAAGTCACCAACTTAGTAAGAAATCAGACACTCCCTCTCCCTCTCCTTGAATCGACGCACTTTTTAGATAATAAAAAATCATGGCCTGCTCTCCACATGCTGAGAAACTACCAAGATGAATCTATATTGAAAGTTGTACATCAAATATAATAGGATTTGGGACTACAAGTCTGGATTCCCTTGAAGAAAACTGTCCAAAGTTGCAATAAAAGGGCAAGTATACAGGAGCATGCAGTGCACTACGAGTCCAAAGCAGTACAATAACAATTTTGCAAAGAAACTTCATAAGGATAGTTTATCTATGATCAGATGAATACCTGCAGCAGCCGCAGCTCGAGGCCATATTGTTTGCTGAACATTCGATGTATCAGCTGTCTCACCCCACATGCATACTTCTCCCCCAAGCACAAGCTTTTGCACAGAAGCATTGTCTATTCCTTCCAGTGGCTCAGCGGTATAAAATTCGTTCCATGGGACATCTAGGTGATCAAGATACCAAACACCTTGATTGCTGAAAATGCATCTGAAACCTTTGGCAACAACCTTCGGACAAACCCCTGGGCCCAACCTATTATATTAAAAGATAGATTAGGCTTGACAGCATTACATATTTTTGCTTGGTACCGCAAGAAAACTGAATATAGGGATAGAAAATTTACCAGTTATGCACTATGGTCCTTGGATGAAGGTTTTCTGGGAAATTATTGAAGGTTTCTTCCCTAGGATGAGGAAAGCAAAATTTATCAGACACTGAATATTTTATTTGATAAGAAAAAACAATTTTATTGTTAAAAATCAATAAAAGTCTAATACAAGAGAGGAGGATAAATTATTCTCACTATTAAAACAGTAATGAAACAAAAATAAAATAAAGATAAAGCCTTACAGGGCCGTAAATTAGAAACCAATCACATCTTTTCAATTCAAAACAACCAAAGAGAAAGGAAAACCCTTAAAGGCTTTGTCAGTCGACGCCCATAGGGATGCTGTAAACTTTGCTCTTTCAAAGAGGTCATTGATATCCATCTCCCTTTCCTCAAAGATCCTAGCATTCCTTTCCGACCATAAAGTCCACATAACTGACACCATGATACTCCTCCACAAGGCTTTAGTCATCTAATTCAATTCCAATCCTGCCAAGTCCTCCTTCAAAACCAAGCTACAATGGCTGGGAAAAACCCAAGAGAATCCTACTTCTGATAATAATTTATGGCAGACTGATCTTGCCACCGGACAATGCAACAATAAATGATCAATGGATTCATCACTATCCCTGCAAAGAACACACCAAGAAGGGAAGAGAACCCTGTGGGGGTTCCTCTTCTGCACCAAATCACAAGAATTTAATTTCCCCAGCAAACCAACCAAGCGAAGACTTTAATTCTATAGAGGACACAAGATTTCCATATGAATTGAAAAGATAAAATTCAAATTTTCAGGACTATTTGCTAAAGAAGAAAAGAAAAGCCGACACGAAAACCCTTTAGGATCACACACCAAACTCTTTGATCAGGACTTGAAGGCTGAACAGGAACGGAATTGATTAATTGGAGTAGATAATGCAAATCCTCTACTTCCCTGTCATTCAGACCTCTTCTAAAACCGAGATTCCAATTCGGATCACCATTTTCAGAGTGAATACAGACTTGTGCAACAGAAGCATTAGGAAGATCCAAAATTCTGAAAAGTCGAGGAAATAAAAAATCCAAAGACTCATTGTCACACCATTTATCTTTCCAAAACAAAAATTTAGTCCCATCCCCAACTCTCAAATTTATGTTTTGAAGGAATGCAACCGACCCTTGAGAGATGAATTTCCATGGATTTCTAAAAGAACCCCTAGTTACAAGGTTCGAGTCCCTCCATTTGGTTGTAACCCATATTTACTCCTAATAACTTTAGCCCACAAAGAATTTTGCTCCAATGGAAATCTCCAAAGCCATTTCCCTAACAAAGCCAAATTTTTCTTCTTCAAGTTCCCAATCCCCAACCCGCCTTTCTCCTTACTTCTTGGCAGGACATCCCAAGCAACCAAACTCGTTGATCTATCACCCCCCTGATTTTCCCAAAGGAAATTTCTCATCATTCTTTCCAGCACATCCACAACCACTCCAGGCATCCTAAACAAGGATATAAAGTAGATAGGAATGCTTGCAAGGACAAATTGAATTAGGGTTAATCTCCCACCCCTTGATAGAAAGGCCTTTTTTCAACCATCCGACCTTTTCCCCACCTTTTCAATGCCTGGTGACCAGAACTCTAATGAAAGCGGATTTAGTCCCAACGGCAAACTCAAATACTTTTCAGCACTTAAAAAGGGCTATGATTGAGATTCCGTGTTGGCCTTGCCAGATTTTTCTCAACCTTTTGTGGTGGAATCTGACGCTTCGGGGTTTGGTATAGGAACGGTTTTGATGCAACAACAGCGCCCCATCGCTTATTTTAGCCAAGTTCTTTCGGTGCGTGCTCGCGTCAAATCGGTCTACGAGCGGGAATTAATGGCCATTGTGTTAGCCATTCAAAAGTGGCGACCTTATTTGTTGGGAAGACGATTTGTGGTGCGCACCCATTCAAAATTGCTTGGCTATGATTTTGAGATTCAATACAAGCCGGGTACAGAAAATAAGGTGGCAGATGCCCTTTCGAGGCAGCAAATGGGGCTTGCTTTAATGGTCATGACCACTCCAATGGTGCTTGATATTGAGAAGTTGCAGCGGCAGGTTACGGCGGATCCGGGGCTCAAAAAAATCGTGGATGAGTTATTGGTTGAAACTCCTTCTTTAACAGGGTTCTCTCTTCAAAGGGGGCACTTACTATACAAAGGCCGGTTGGTCGTTCCTCCACAATCCCCTCTTATTCCAATCTTGTTACATGAGTTTCATAGTAGTAAGATTGGCGGCCATTCGGGGGTCTTCAAGACTTGCAAGCGGTTGGCAATGGAGTTCTATTGGAAAGGTATGCGCAAGGATGTCGAGTTTTTTGTGGCTGCATGTGTCGTCTGCCAGCAACATAAGTCGTCAACCTTGTCACCTGCAGGTTTGTTGCAGCCTCTGCCCATACCCCATCGTGTTTGGGACGACATTTCTATGGATTTCATTGGGGGCTTACCTAAATCCGCCGGCTATAACTCAATCTTGGTTGTCGTTGACCGTCTCAGCAAGTATGGTCACTTCATTGGCCTCAAACACCCGTTTTCGGCCAACACAGTGGCTGCTTCTTTTGTCCGCGACATAGTGCGCCTTCATGGTTTTCTGCAGAGTATAATTTCCGATCAAGACAAGGTTTTTATGAGCCACTTTTGGAAGGAACTTTTCCGATTACAGGGCACCACTTTGTGTAGGAGTACGTCGTATCACCCACAGACGAATGGGCAAACGGAGGTCGTCAACCGCTGTTTGGAGGCCTACTTGCGTTGTTTTGTTTCCAGCCAACCTCGGCAGTGGTTTACACATCTTCCGTGGGCGGAATATTGGTACAATTCGAGCTTTCATGTTTCGGCTGCCATGACACCTTTCAAAGCTCTCTATGACCGGGATCCTCCGCGATTGGTGCCTTATGAGGCCGGTTCTACGGCTACATCGGAGTTGGAGCGGCAACTATGCGATCGAGATGCGCATTTGGCTAAATTGAAAAACCATTTGGGCCGCGCTCAACAATCTATGCGGGACCATGCCAACAAGAAGCGCCGTTCTGTATCATTTGAGGTGGGAGACATGGTTTATTTGAAACTCCAACCGTATCGACATCGAGCGCTGGCGCGTATAGTGAATGAAAAGCTTGCGCCTCACTATTACGGGCCGTTTCAGATCCTTGCTCGCGTTGGCCCAGTGGCGTACCGGCTGCAACTTCCTTCCCATGCTCGGATTCACCCGGTTTTTCATGTTTCCCGTTTGAAGAAGGCTCTTGGTTCTGTGGATATTCCTCAATCTTTACCTCCCATCTTGTCTGAGGATTTGACGTTGCAGGTTGAACCGGACCAGGTCCTGGATACACGTTTCTCCCCCACCAATGGTTCTTTGGAGGTTTTGATCAAATGGCGCCATCTTCCTGATTTTGAGTCTTCGTAGGAGCTGTTTGAGGTTATTCAGCGCCATTTCCTACTTTCCACCTTGAGGACAAGGTGACTTTTCTGAGGGGGGTGTAATTGATAAGCCCTTACTCAGGCAAGTGTACATTAGGAAGAATAAACGGGCTTAGGAAGAGGGTTCTGGTTTGGGCTGTCTATAGCTTACTGTCTGTGGAAGTTTGTTAGTATTAGTAACTTACTAAGAAAGATTGCTAGAGGTTAATGAATAAGGGAATGTATAAAAGGGGGAGAGGAATAGAAAGAAGGCATCGTGGAAATAATCAAGTTGTTGTACAAATCTTGGAAACATTCCAAGTACGGGGAGGAAGCAGACCCTCGAAGTTCTGCGTATTGGTGTACATGTGCCGACATTAATAAAGTTCTCTAGTTGATTCTTTTCTTCTTTCTTTCGATATTTTCTTGATTTTGTCCCAAATCGGTTCAGTTCTTATCATTTTGGTATCAAAGCATTGTTCTGGGAGATTATGGCGGCCAGGAAAACGGAGGAGAAATTCGAGGCGGTGGAGAAGGAGATTCAACAAGTCAAGGCTTCGGTGGAAAAAGAAATTGGAGAGGTTGGGGCTGAAATGAACCATAGCAAGGCTGAAATGAACCATAGCATGGCTGAAATGAACCAGAACGTGTCAGATCTGCGAAACTCATCACAAATCTTCGAACTAAAGACGAAGCTGTGGCAATCCAAGCAGGAAGATCGAGATGTCACAACATACTACAATGAGATGGTGACTTTATGGCAAGAATTGGATTTGTGTTATGAAGATGAATGGGATTGTCCTGCTGATAGTGTGCGGCATAAGAAAAGAGAGGAGAATGATCGAGTTTACAATTTTCTAGTAGGACTCAATCAAGAATTAGATGAAATAAGAGGAAGGGTCTTCGGAAAAAAAAAACCCTTACCATCTATCAGAGAAGTGTTTCAGAAGTTAAGAGAAAGGAGGCTAGGCGAAGAGTGATGCTAAAAACCCAAGAACCAAAGCTCAATCATAAAGCAGAAATTTCGGCTCTAGTCTGTAGAGGATTTGATCCGGAGGAAGAATAGAAAAAGAAACCATGGTGTGATCACTGCAAAAAACCATGGCATACAAAGGAAACATGCTGGAGAATTTTAAAAAGAAGAATGGAGGTGATGGCAAAGCATTCCAAACCATGAGTGAGGATTCTCAAATGCAGCAAATCAGCTCGGAAATAACTCAGTTCACAAAGGAACAATTAGACCATCTATACAAACTCTTTCAATCTCCACAATTTTCAAATTCTTCTTGTTCTTTAGCTCAAAAGGATAATTATCTCATTACAGCTCTCTTTAGTATAAAATCTAATCTGTTTTGTCCATGGATTATTGACTCTGGAGCCACAGATCACAACTGGCTTTTCAAAACTGTTTTCATCCCACAAACCGTGTGTAGGGAATAAAAAGATCAAAATTGCAGATGGATCCTTTTCAGCCATAGCTGGAATAGGATCAGTCAGTGTTTCTCCATCTCACACTTAATTATGTCCTCCATGTTCCAAATTTGTCTTGTAACTTATTGTCCATAAGCAAAATAACTCGTGATCATAAGTGTCAAGCTAACTTCTATCCATCTTATTGTGAGTTTCAAGAACTAACCTCGGAGAGGACGATTGGCAGTG